TGTTTCCCTTCAAACCGTTTTATTTTCAATAGGTCGCTGCCCGTCGTCCTGACAGAAAAGTGTCCTCGTGCTCGTTGAATAACCTCAGTATGACACCACAGGTACGAGCACCATCGTCCCCCTACAGGACTTCTCTTACATGGACAATCCCATTGGATGAAAGCTGCACTGGAACCACAGCAACCGAGGAGGACGGGAGCTGTGCAATGAGAAAATAGGCTAATGGAAAAAAATAATTATGATGTTTGCTTTGGATAAAAGCATCAGCCAAATGGCTATAAGTTTGTGATTCTGTTTGCGCCAGCAGAGAAGCCTCAGCCGGCCCTGATGGCCCACTACTGCCTCGCCATGCCGGGGAAAAGGGTTTTATTGTGACTGAGAAGAACCCTTTCATAGCATGGTTTGTGTTTTTGGAGGAGATGTAAAAGGTCTTTGGTCATCATTCACACTTATTGATACACTGATGGCCGGTCGACACACATAATCTGGCTTTTAGAGGCCGATCTCTGAAGGTTATCAGCACCGTACTCTGCATTTCATCCGCACCTCAGGAGGAACGCCTCCTCCGTTAGCTTAGCGCCGAATGTTTCATTAACGCGCCGCCGCGCTTCAATACTGCATGACGGCAATATCACCCAGCCGGACGGCAGGATGTATCACCCGCATGAATCAAGTTGTCATTTCCAATTTCTGGGGGGGGGGAGGGCTTAGCATTCAGGGCACACTGTCATGGGGTCGGGGGGGGGGGGGCAGCTGCCTCTGCCTGCACATTTATGAGTTGCTTCACTCGCTCGTCCACTCAAGAGGAGACTCGTTTTCCCCTCGCGCCGCTCCAAACTCTTCGGGAGTCTCTTCTCGCCCACAAAGCATCGACCGACTCTGAACTAGTTTTACTTCTCAGCAGCGGGGGGGGGGGGGGCTGTAGTCAGTGGGCCCAAAGCTGTTGGCCGCTATCGATATCCCATTTCCTCTGTCACTCCTAAGCTGCTTTGCATGCAGAAGCTTTGCGTTAAGCCCGCGGCGTCCGGCCCCCGTGGCGCCCGCGGCGGCGCTGCACCGCAACAATCAGCGAGTGGTTTTATTATCCGGGAAAAACAAAAGCGGCAGCTGGTGTCACGCTGGGAGCCCCCCCGGCCCCTGACATTTTAATATCGGGCGCCTCTCATAATGGGCGGGACGCTAAAACGATCTCTTAAATTCCACGCGGCGTTGTCCCTCTTTTGATGGTTTAGGAGACACAATGAGGCTCCAGCGTTGAGACAGAAGAGATTCGCAAACCTCCTGTTGAGCTTATCACAAATTCAGCAGCAGGAGACTGAGATAAGGTGCCGCGTCACGGCCGGCGCAGTGGGAGGAAAAACATCCGCCCGAAAAAGTTCCACTCAAGCGCTCCTCAGTCCGCGTCTGACACGTTTAAAAAACTTTACATGCACTGCAAATCCCCAAGAAAGAAACGTATGGGAGAGGGGCTCAAATCCTCGAATGTAGCACAGCTTCATATTATCATGTAGGCCTCCGTAGAGCATCTTGAGTTCTCTGTTCATTGATCATAAAGCTGAGGCAACGCACACACTCCGCAGTCGATGGGGGCAAGTGTGTTCATAAATAGGACTCCGTCTCCTCTCAGGCACAAAGCCTTTTTTCAACTTTTGCTTCGTCCATTATCCACTCGATTCTATTTGTTGTTGTCACTGGGTGATATTAACAGGCAACGCCTGACGTGATTTTCTATTAGATCCTTTTTTTTCCCCCATCTTCATCACCCCTCAGTGGCTGTACCCTCCTCTTCTCCCTCTCCTGGCAAGGTCACCCGACGCTGCACTAATGACTGCGACCAATTATCCGGTGAAACATTAAACGGGACGGAAACCTCCCAGCAGCCCTCCACATCTCCACAAGAGAGGTCACGTCTTGGGGTCGTACATCCCGGATCTCCTCGGGTAGGAATATTTACCCCAAACGTGCACTTTGGCTCACGGGTGGACGGACGGGATTCTGTTGGTCAAAGGTCGAGGTCACTGTGACCTCGCGGCCTCATTCTCCTCGACGCTGTAACGTCCGGACCAAATACTTTGGACAGGCTGATGGAGCGCCGACACAAGGTCGCTAAATCGACTTCCTCCACGCTCACAAGACTTGAGCCCGATAGATTCCTCCCCCACCCTTCTCTCCTATTCCTCCCCCCCGCCCCCCCCCCCCCCCCCATGCTGTCATGACAACCAGTTCCGATTAGCAGGTCGCCAGCAGTAAGTCCTGTGAGAGGACGTTAATAACAGTAATTAGTGCTGGAATACCTTATTCCACTGATGGTATTTCTGGAGCTATTACATCGGATCGGACCGCGGGGCCGTCGTGATGGCGAAGTACAGTACTAGCAGTAGTACTAGCAGTAGTACTAGCGGTAGTACTAGCAGTAGTACTAGCAGTAGTACTAGCGGTAGTATATCTGTATCAAACGGCGTCGCAAAGGCCTGTGTCGTCTAAATCTCAAGCTGGCAATCATCATAAAATATGTAGGAGCAGCAGAGCTACTCTGTGTTTTCATCACACGGCTGCGCTTGTAAAATACTGCTTTTGATTAACGGGTTGTGATTGGCCGCGCACACACATTCACCCACCGACGATGGAGACGTGACCGCCTATCTGCGTATTAATGAAGCAGAATTGCCTTGATTGGCGACATCGTCATTAGGAGAGAGAGCTTTGCAAATCACAAGCTGGCTGTGAGCAACTGAATCGTTATACCACTAACATTTTAAATATGAAATATGACGTGATCGGCTCCATAGATCTATAATATGTTTTCACATCATACATTTTATTCGCGGTTAACCGTCATCTGTTCTGCTTTGTAACAAATGTTCATTATTTCCTGCCCATATATGTGGAGTTTATTAATAGAGAACAATAGAGTGAAAGTCTCCAAATTTTAAAGAGACAATAATAATAATAAGATTAATAAACAAGGTCTATTTATTTTTAGTTTCAAAAGATTTGATCTGGCAGGAACAGGCATGCTTATGAATATGAATAGAGTGGGCTAAAAGGCACAAGAAGCCTAATTCTACTTTACAATAATTCACTAGATGTTTACAGTCAGGCTGGCAAACCGATATGAATATGCAATCATTCAGAGCCGTGTTCACGCACAGAATTGTCGCATTCCATCTGGCTCACTTTGTTGTTGTTTTTTGCGAACGTTAAACCTTATCTTGAATTCATATCCGTGGCTATAAGGTGCATTACATCAGCGTCACGAGACAACGGGGCCGTAAACAAATACATATCATTTCACTGCTGTCACTCAAAGCAATTTGCTGCAGATGTCACAGCGCCTCCTTTTGGAGCCATAACTCTCACACACACACACACACACACACACACACACACACTGCTGCAAACAAACTGTGACAGTGCACGGATCTCAGATGTCCACCTCTGAGGGTTTTATGAGAGTGCACGTGTGATTTGTGGCTCACGTGCAAGCTCATGAGAAACCTCCAGGAGCCGAGTGATGCTCGTGCGCATCATTTCGGCAGCTCTGGTAACACCTGTGCACGTTGGCGTTGAGAGAATCAGGCTCCATTCCACAGGTCTGAGCATTTTAGAGCCCGTATTCATGAATTCATGTGTTCCAGATGTCGTTTCTCTGCGGGGAGACAAGAAAACGCACAATGAGAAGCGGCGAGATGCCACGAGGGGCCCCAAAGAGCTTTAGGGTGCAGAGCAGCCGTGTACTTTGACTTGGGTGAAATAGTGTTGTACTACATTCAGTTGACAGGCCGCTGAGGACGCCCTCGAAAGAGAGACACTACAAGTGTTATTCTCAATGAAGGAGGACACGCACACACACGCACTATAACTCAAAGCTTATAAATACAGAACGTGTCTGAATTGCGCCAAATACGGTCCGCAGAGATGCACCGTGTAAGCACACAGACTCCTCCTGACATATCCAGGAGAGGACCTCTACTGAGCATCAGTGATTCAAAGACCTTTCAATTTGCTCTGAGGGGACGTTTGGTCTCCGGATTGTCACATTATGAAAAACCAACAGCCGCTCCTTGGAGCGTTGGGGTTGGGGGGGGCTCGAGGTGACAAAGCACTGATCTGCAACAGAGGGTGAGCGAGGTCAAGGAAAGGGGAGGATGATTTGTGAGGGAGGAGGAGGAGGAGGAGGAAGAGGAGGGAGCCTGATTGCGATCGCAGCTGTCAATGAGAAAAAAGGAAAGGAGACGGAGAGAAGTGCAGCGAGTGTGCAGGGAAGGACCAAAACAATAAAGTGAAAATGTATTTCAAAAGCCAGCCGGATGGAGAGCGAGGCATCGACGGCGGGTGATGTCAGGGGAGGATGAGGAGTCAGGGAGAGAAATGGATCAAGCACCCATGTGGAGAAGGAGGGAGGGGTGGAAAAGCAGGCCGCGATGAGATGGATTCCACCGGACCATGAGATTGATGACTGCTTTGGAAAAGAGATGGAGAGGGAATAGATAGTGGAGGTGGGGGGGGGGGGGGGGAGTTGATGAAAAGAACCAACAGAACATTCTGAGTCTGATAGAAAGAATGAGGCGACTTCCCATCTCAAGACATCTCTTCCTCATCTCTAATGGGATCTATTCTAATTTATTTTTTCTGTTCATCGTTCGGCCGCGCGTTCAAGAACAAACCCCCCCCATAAAAAAAGGCGATTATTTCTGAAGCTTATGAGGTCTGCTTGTTAGGAGGATTAGCTGAGTTGGTCACCAGGCACCGCGATACATGTCGGGAGGAGGTGGATGTTAACGATTCCCCTCCTTCCTCCTCCTCTCAGCGAGGCTCTGATTGCGTGTCTGCTCCGCGGGTCGGGGGGGGGGAGGGTACGAGAGGGAGATGAAGACCCATGAAAGGTCAACAAGCGGCGGCACCGCGATTTACACGGGGTGGAGCGCTCCCTCGCATGTGCTCGTTATGACGCGTGGCTCTGGACGTCCTCGCCGCTGACTCTCCCGTCTCTCTTTCAGACGCCGCTCCGGAGCGCTAACGGCATCCTGTCCAGCTGCGATGGGACACGCGGGATCCGCGACGACCCTCGAGGGCGTGGCCTCCACGTTTCCAGCGCCGCCGCCGCCGTCGCCGACGCCCCGGCCCGAGTGAACGCGGCGAGATGCCTTCCAAGGTCTCCTGCCTGTACCTGCTGACCGTGGTGTGCTGGGCCAGCGCTCTGTGGTACCTGAGCGTGTCCCGCCCCTCCAACTCCTACGCGGGCCAGCCCACCATCCCCGTACGCCGGGCGCACAAGGCCGGCAAGAACGGCACCTTCAGCAACGTCCGCGCGCGCACACTCAACCCGCACGACTTCGGCTACCTGGTCAACGAGGCCAAGAAGTGCGAGGCGGAGGCGCCCTTCCTCGTCATCCTGATCAGCACCACCCACAAGGAGTTCGACGCCCGGCAGGCCATCCGCGAGACCTGGGGCGACGAGAGCACCCTGGCGGACGTGCGGGTGGTCACGCTCTTCCTGCTGGGCCGCAGCACCGACGCCGTCCTCAACCAGATGGTGGAGCAGGAGAGCCAGATCTTCCACGACGTGGTGGTGGAGGACTTTGTGGACTCGTACCACAACCTGACGCTCAAGACGCTGATGGGCATGCGCTGGGTGGCCACGTTCTGCCCCAAGGCCCAGTACGTCCTCAAGACGGACAGCGACATCTTCGTCAACATGGAGAACCTCATCTTCAACCTGTTGAAGCCCGCCACCAAGCCCAGGAGGCGGTACTTCACGGGCTACGTCATCAACGGCGGGCCGATCAGGGACATGCGAAGCAAGTGGTACATGCCGAGGGATCTGTACCCCGAGAGCAAGTACCCGCCCTTCTGCTCCGGCACCGGCTACGTCTTCTCGGCCGACGTGGCCGAGCTGGTGTACCAGACGTCGCTGCACACGCGGCTGCTGCACCTGGAGGACGTGTACGTGGGCGTGTGCCTCCGCAAGCTGGGCATCCACCCGTTCCAGAACAGCGGCTTCAACCACTGGAAGATGGCCTACAGCCTGTGCCGCTACCGCCGCGTGGTCACCGTCCACCAGATCTCGCCGGAGGAGATGCACCGCATCTGGAACGACATGACCAGCAAGAAGCACCTGAAGTGTTAGCGGCGGGAACAGAGATCGGTCTACGCCCGGTGGCTCTGCGTGGACTCTTCTACGTCCTTTGTCAGGCCGACGTGTCCCAGAGTTTAGACTCGTGAAAGGAAAGAATCAGACCCCCCCCCCAAAAAAAATGTTTAATGTTCAGATGGGTGTTGATTTTTTATAGGAGGGCGAAGCCCGGAGGCTTTTATTGAAGGACTCATACAAGGCTCAAACTGTCCCCCCGACCACACACACACACACACACACACACACACACACACACACACACACACACACACACACACACACTTTGGCCTCTCCGCTCCCTCACAAGATCTTCAATGACTGTTGTGTTCTTTTCAGAGACATATTTTCTTAGAGGCAGTATAAGAACAGAATGTAGTCCCAGGTGTCGGCGGTTGCCGTCACACATGGATTGACCCCCCCCCCCCCCCCCCCCCGTTAGCCGGTTAGCCTGTTAGCGTGTAACGTGTGGTCATTCGTTCTCCAAGCACGCCATTAGTTTTTTTTTTTTTTCTATCACTCCAACGCGAGGGAGAACAGTGGACAACTTTTGAGTGCACTCTTCTTTCCAATAACTCAAGGTTAAATAAAGCGCTTTTTGTAAAGACTAAAAACTCGTATTTATTACCGAAAACCACCAGACAAACGTTGTGAATCTGCTGCTTCTGTTGCACACAGCCGGCGAGCATGTTGGGGGAACAGGAGACGTCTGATCAGCGCCAGCTGTGCTGAGTTTGAAGCATGAAGTCGCAGCTCTCGTGGTGCTTCTCTTCTGCATACAGGTGTGTGTGTGTGTGTGTGTAGATGGAATATAAAGCATCTGTGTAGTTTGGTATGATATATTATATATTACAAAAATTCTCTTCCAGCAAAATCTGTTGTGGTTAATGATGAATGTCAAACTTCACAGTGCAAACCATCCCAATTCATAATTCCCATTATTTTGCCTTGTCGACGGTTATATTTTACGATGTTCTGAATGAGACCCAGAACGGATGATCCTGATGACGCTCGTGTAGGTTAAGAGCTTTTAATCTGTACCGTGAAGACGTTTACGTGCATACATGTGTGTTCTACATCACACATTTCTGTAATACTTCTGCTCCCGTCTTTGATGCCTACGTGTGTGTGTTTGTGTTGGTGATCCCTTTGTTCCGAGCAGTGTCATCATCATCATCATCATCATCATCATCATCATCATCATCTGAAAGGAGCAGCATAACACTGCAGAGGGATTTGGTGCTGGGGGAGAAACGTGTGAAAAGGTCTGTTCTGTTCTTCACTCACAAAGATAAATATAAAATAAAACAAAGAAAAGAAAAGGCTCCTTCCTCAAACACTTCCCCCTCGGGGGAAAAAATCCCCCATTGCTGTTCTGATGTCCTCGCGATGAAAACGATTCCCCGCTCGACAGCTTCCCGTCAAACACTTCTTTTTGATTCTCCACAACGCTTTTTGAGGAATAATTGAAACTGTTTTATTCCCCCGTGCTGTCAGTCTTTTTGTGTGCAGTAAAGAAACAGGCACAACATTACCGGTTAATGACTTTTATTTCTTATTCCCATTAAACAAAAGACACATAACCACAGTCCGCCCTGTAGTACACATGTGAAATAATTGTTATTCAAAGTGTCTTATCCTCAGTGCTGCGTTCCTCTGATCGGCCCCTACGGCGAGCGCAACATGGCGAGCTACACACCGCCTGCTCTGTAATTGGCCAAACAGCCCAGTGGTGCTGCATTTAAGGGTCTGCGGCTCGGGGGGAGAATGAAAAGCGAGTGATTATTCCGCCGGCCCGTGGTAAACGAACCTCATAACGAGCAGGGCGGCCTCGCTAGACGGGGAGCTCCGAGGGCCGCTGAGCAAAGAGCAGAGCTCGCTGTGGTGCCGCTCGTCTCTCGGCGTGCGTGACCTCATCGCGCCCCCCCCGCGAGGAAAAACAAGGGGGGGGGCTCGGGGACGCCGCCAGCCTGAAACTATTTTGTGTAAGTATGTTGATATATCGGGGGCAAGAGATTAACACTCACAGGGCCCCCTGTGGTGTCTGTGGCTTGACCAATCAGACCTCACGGAAAGCGCACGTAGGTGCGATGCTGATGGTTTTTATGTCCCGTAGCAACAAGGTGATTGTCGTTGTTCATTGGGATTCCTTGTTATTTCGGCATTCTTCTCACTCTCTTTTTAAATTGGAAAAAAAGTCCCTTTGCTGCTGCTGCTTCTTCGTGATATCTTACTCAAGCAATGCAAACTTTTATGTACGCAGAAGAACAGACTATAGACATTTTTTAATCCCCTCCCTCCAGGATACCACATTATATTCAGAAATCGGTTTGTCTACCAAATCCTCTGTAAATTAGGAACTACATTCAGGAATCCCTTTGCCACGCATGTGACATCTGTATAAATACTGAGGTGGTTTGGGCGCCTCCCCAGGGAGGAGTTCCAGGCCCCGGGGGAAGACCCAGGACGAGGTGGAGAGACCATATCTCTGCACTGGCCTGGGAACGCCTTGGGACCCCCCAGTCAGAGCTGCTAGATGTGTCCCGGGACAGGGAAGTTTGGGGTCCCCTGCTGGAGGTGTTGCCCCCGCGACCCGACCCCCGGATACACGCGGGTGAAAATGGATGGATGGACATCTGACACACACGAACTCCTGGCAGAGATATTCAACGCGCATTCATTTATTATCTTCGATTGCGTTGGTGTTAAAGTCTGACTCGATAGCCGGCCCGTCGTCGGTCATCGGCCTCTCGTTCCTCCACCTCAGAGGAAGCGCGGCGTGTTTACTTGTCACCCAAAGGTCAAACCCCGACGCAGCTCAGCGATTTAAAAAACAAAACACAAACACAAGCTATTAATCTCTGTCCCGTCTGACACGTTTCCAAGCGTTTGACAAATGAACGGTGAACGCCAGTCGATTTGGGACGCCGCCGTGCCTCCGAGATCCAACAGTCAAATTGGCTCCAGAGATTGCTTCTCCGAGAAGAAGAAAACAAATGGATGGCGGTGTTTGGGGGGGAGGGGCGGGTGAAGGGAGAGGAAGGCTGGACTCCCAATTGTCAAATTTGCTTAGGAAGCTTCCTAAATGTAGGTAAATTCTCTAAATGCTAAGGAAAGGAGCTTCAATGCTTCCTTACCGAGCTCCTTTAGCAAAGGAACCACTGGACATTCCTTCACAAACGGAAAGGAGATAATTCCTCACGGCAGCAATATTGTGAGTGTGTCGGATTCCCTAAACAGCGGTTTTCTTTTCCTAAATCCTCATGACCTCTCCTTACCACCTTTCCTTGACCCCATGACCGATGTCAAGGAATAGACGTTAATAGAAGGTCATTTCTTTGACAAGTTGATTTCCAGCATAAGCTCTGGAGTTGTGCTGCATAAATGACTCGTCACATTCTGCGTTGCCTCATTAAGTGAGTTAGCTGACACACACACACACACACACACACACACACACACACACACACACACACAGACCACATCTGTCAGGACAAACTGTCCTTGTCGGTGTTGTTTTCGGGCAGCATGACTTACTCCCTGTCGTCCCTAACGGATTGATAGTATTTAAATAGGAAGCATACATCACGACGTGAGGAAAGGGGGGGGGGGGCATCTGACGGAGATAAGTGTGACGGCCCGGCTGGATTTCAATGTAGGAAGCAATAAATTAACTCTCCAAATCTCCGCGTCGGAGGCGACCTCGCCCACCTCGCCGATCAGCGAGCGCTTTGCATAATCGCACCAGGGCGCCTCATAAATACCTAATGTGCGCGTGACGGTCAAGATCATCACACTCCGCGGGGGCGGGCGGGGGGCGGGGTACAGGAGCAACGCGCCGTGTCGTTTGTGTCATTCTGTTATCGGCCGTACTGGTGTTCCTGCGTCTGTGCAGTGGGAGCAATGCTGTCTGATGCAGACGAAGGTTATCGTGCACTCTTCTCTTCCTATTCTATCGAATTGGGATTCCTTACTTTACCCCCCCAGAGCTGCAGCGGTGTGCTGCCACAGCTCACATGCTCATTAGGCCGAGCGTAGAGCACAAAATGCAGATTTATGCCACTCTTGCGTCGGGACTTCCCGCGGATGTGGGAATCGAGGACGCCGGATCCTCGTTGTTTCAATTAGAGCTCAGCGAGGCGACGCTGCCTGAGGCCTGCAGCTGCGATGTGAGATTCCACCGTCCGAGTGCGCTGGGCCTCCTTTTACACTCGCTTTATTTATCTCATCCATCGAGCTCGCTCACATTCACGACTTGTTCTTCCCGTCTGGAATTGGGAACCCGGGTCACTCGTCTCCGTGCAGCAGCAGCAGCACTCAAAGCTAACGCGCTGGGCAATTGACCCCCCTCCAAATTAACGTGGGCCCAAGCAGCTCTGACGAGGAGCGGTGGGGAGCTCATTGCCTCATTCGGGATGTAATTAATCTCAATTAAAAGCACATCCATCTCACTCTACACCTGCAAACACTCGGTCACGCTTCGTTTTTTCGCTCCGTGTTTGCAAACCTTGGGAATACGAAAAGAGGGGGAGGGGTGGGGGGGGGGTGTAAAGAGAGAAAATCTACTCACCTGTGATTCGTAGAGTGACTCACGAGCACGATGGCGGGCGGTGTTTTTCCGTTGAACTGAATATCTGCCTGTTTTTTTTTCCTCTCTGATAATCTGCGCCGGCCTCAAACTTCCATCTACTACATCCGCCCCGAACAAAAAACCCAAACTAAATCCTCAGCAGATGACTGTGGAAACAAGGCTATTTCCAGCACAGATGGAATGCAGCAATTTATAGACAGGATGTGTCTGTGGTAAAGGGGAGGGGGGGGGGGCAGACTTTTGTCTTTGCACTTTTCTCACCGAAAACCTGTCAACGCGAAACGCTTTGTTTGGAACAATGTGGAGGGAAATGCGAGTGTTTTGTGCCTTTTGCGGCGCTTTCATCCCTGAGACACACACACACACACACAGAGACACAGACACTATCGCACAATGACTTCCTGTTGACACCACCTTCCTTTTACGGATCTGCCCGCTAGTTGTCAAATTTAGCAGTTTACAATTACCTCCAGTAAACATTGTAAACCGGAGTCTGTGCTCTCACTTTAGTTTGAAGTCTTCAATTCAGCGTGATATTCATTTAGTAAGTGATGGTCCATTTAGAAGAATACCGTGTGAGTGTATTCATGAATAATTAAAACATCAATGCGGAGGCAGTTTAGATACTTTGCATATTTTTGTAATGTAAAAAGCAATTAGTTACGATAACCATCAAATAAACACAACGTCCCCGTCCTAGAAGCGTCAATGCGTGTGAACTACAGATTCTGGAGTACAGGGTGTGAGAATCAATGCCAGCCGGGCGGGGGGGGGGGGGCATTCAATCAAACCTCAGGTGGCGGGCAGATTAATAGCAGCCGTTACTTGCGGCGGCCTGCAGGCGCCTGATGTGAGCGTGTGAATGTGTCCGAGGAGCAATGGAGAGCATCACCTCGCGGACGCAGCCACTAAAGGTTTTTAGCCATAATCAAGCGGCAAAATCGATTCAACAAAGTGCTGCTGCACAGGGAAAAAGTGAAGGGGGGGGGGTTGACTCAATTACCCAGCATGCTGAGGTCGGGTGTCTGAAGGGGAAAACACGAGGTCAAATGTTGCATTAAATCTCCTCCCTCGCGATTTACTTAACGCAGGAGTGCCCTGAAACCACCCGAGCCACAAAAACCAGTTGAGTGTTGTCACGTGGAGCCGTTCACATTCATGCTCATCAGCTTCCCTGTCGCTCAAGTTATGCTTTTTACGCGTCTCCTGGGTGGCGTTTGGTCCCCGACGGCAGGCAGATGTTTGCAGTGGTCGATATCACTTCACTATGTGCTCACAAGCCAAAGAGCTGAGAGCCACTCGCCCAAATGACTCGTTTAAGAATATATGGATTGGACATTTAAAAGGGGGACATTTAAAAGGGGGAAGACTCCTTGAGTACTGTCACACCCTTTTATGTATATAACGTAAATAAATTCATGGTTAATTCATTTTTCATCTACGTTTTCTTTGAGTCTGAACTTTCTCTCGAGAGATGGAGAGAGAGAGGGCGAGAGATGGAGAGAGAGAGGGCGAGAGACGGAGAGAGAGAGGGCGAGAGACGGAGAGAGAGAGGGCGAGAGACGGAGAGAGAAACGGAGAGAGAGACGGCGAGAGACGGAGAGAGAGAGGGCGAGAGACGGAGAGAAACGGAGAGAGAGACGGAGAGAGACGGAGAGAGAGAGGGCGAGAGACGGAGAGAGAGAGGGCGAGCAGGTGTGTACTCATTGCGTTCAGCCGAGGGCTTGAACATGTGGCCGGGGAGCAATATGTTTTGTAGCTGCATTGCATTGTGGTCCACAGAGACCGTTCAGCGAATGATGAGGGACTTAACGGAAGAGGAAACACTCTTGACTTACCTTCTTTTAATGCTTTTGGATTTTGCCAGCTGGTATCACGTTGCCCCGTTATGGATGATGAATAATAATAATAAACTATGCCAGCTTCTTTTATCACCAATGGGGATGTTAAAAGAAATACTGTAAGCTTTAAGTAAGTCATCATTAATTTCGCCGAATACGGAGACCAGCTGAAAAACACACACATTTATTTTCTTCATTGCAGGTCGTCAACAACAGCTGTTTTCCCCACTGGACCTTCCACAGTAAGTCAAATAGAAACGAGCCGGGTTCTAGTGAAGATAAGCGCATCAGACCAGCAGGTCCGCCCGTAATGCTGCTCACAGCGCCGTGTGAAAACCCTCACCAAGCAAATTACCACCTGAACGCCTCGCTAATAGACGGCCCCCCTCTCCCCCCCGGGGCCGCTTCCTCAGAACTCGACAATTCGCACCGTTGGTAATTAGCGTCGGTGCCCTGCTTTTTATAATTGTGATTTTCATCAGGCAGATTCAAAGTTTGGGGGAGATGAGGAGGGAAACTTGAGTTCCGGCGCCGCCCGCAGAGGGCCGGACGCCTTCTCCCTCGCTGCAAAGCCACCGTTGGAATAAACAACAGAGGGAACGCGAGCTATGAAAAAGGCCACAGAGCTGAATGGGACTAGAAGAAGTTGCTATTGTGGACAGAATACAGCGGGCATCAGTACAGATTTAAACAAGGACGTGTTTGGGTTTACAATAATGCAGCCGTTTAATAAGCTGGGACATTAGCAGGTGTTTTATTCAGCAGAGCTCTGCTCTTGAAATGGAAATATGTTAATGCGGGTTCAGCACCGTGCGACAGTAGAGTAACAAATCACAGTTTGAAGCTCTTCAGTCGCCCCACCGGTCGAACTGCCGGGGGCCCGAAGAAAACAGCAAAGGCAGTAATGCAAATTTAACTTCAGGCGTTCTCATCGTGAATCCCTCCACGCTCGTTTTAATGAATGACCAAAAACGTATTAGGCCCTGGGAGCCCCCCTGAGGTGCCGGTCCCCTTTGCGTTTGCTGCTGTAATACTGACGTGGATAATGAAAAGCTTTAATGGGGATGACCGTTGTCGTTTATTAGGAAATTAGGCCCTTGTTACGTTGTGGACCCCCCCCCCCCCCCTTTGGGTCTGCGTGTGTGGGTTTATTTCTTCAATGGCCGCTGTCATTTCGGCTTTATGGGGCCGAGCGAGACCGAGGGGAAGGCGCTTCAGCTGGAAGAGTCCAGTCCAGGCACAAATGAATATGTATATCACAGGAATCCCAGATCCATGACAGACAACTAATGAGCCCCCCCCCCCCGATGTTACATGCTAGTTTAAGCCACGCGTTTGGGGTCCGTTAAAGGGCAAGCGGGCATTTGTAGTATTCTGAGCTGAAAAAAACACTTGAAGACGAGGCGGCCTTTTAGTGTGAGCGAAGACTCTTACCAACAGGCAACTCCCCCTGCAGCTGCTACCTTTAGATTAAATATGCTCCCCCTCCCTCCCTCCCTCCCTCCCTCCCTCTCTCTCTCTCTCTCTCTCTCTCTCGCCGGGTATCCTTTTAATTCCCACTCATCTCACCTCTGCAACATTTAAATTCAAACTCCACACGCCGCCGCCCTCGGACCGGCTATCGACTAGACGAGAAAAAGAAAAAACAGGGGGGTCGTCCTCTTCCATCTTATTTAGGGGTCGTCCTCCTCCATCCCTTAGCTGTAATGGCTCCTTGAGTGTCAGCGCTTTGTGTCGACAGTAAATAAATCATCCTTCAGGGGAAAATAGGGGGAATAATAAGAACTACCGAGCTGAACGGATGACATCTTATGAGATATTACAGCGCAGGAAAAGCCCACTTTTAATCAACACCCAGCCACATTTCGAATTGCCCCTAATGTTCTGTGTGTTCGGGCCGGGCCTGTTTCCGTGGACTGAGATCACAGGGAATGCACAGAGGGGGGCCTCGGGCGCCTCTTTATCACACCCGGCAGAGACGCGGCCCCCTCGGCCCCCCCGCCGTCTGTTCTCATCAATCGGAGTTGCTTCGACACTTCGCGGCGGGGAGTCCAACCATGTCCCCTCAGCCGGATGAGCTGGGACGGGGGGGCGGCGGGGGGCGGCGGGGGCACCTGAGGAATACTGATTGAAGTTGAAGACTCGATTTCCCAGAGGTCAGCACGGCGGCGCTCACAAATTAAACCTCAAACATCTGCGCACCTGACGGAGAAAAAGGGGGGGGGCGGGTTCGGGTGTGAAACGTTCCCGCCATGAACTCTAGCGGCGTCGCGCCGCCACGCCGCTTATTCGCAGTTCGGGCCCCCCCCCCCCCCCCGGCAGCTCGCGGGCCACGGAGCCGCCGGAGCCCCAAGATGCTGCCATGCGGCATTATCTTCACCTCGCAGGGAGCCTGTGCGGCGCATTACCTCCACGCGAGCCTCGGAGGGAAAGGCCTCTCCGAGCAGCAGGTCTCGTAATGCGATCGTGCTTCGCCGGCGTCCACTGACGGGGCCTTTCTGTGTGCGTTACAATCACGTCGTCCGCCCGCTTCAACAAGCGCATGACAGCGGGAGGAATATATTTCGCTTTTAGACACATGCCACCTTCGTCCCTTTAGGGGTTTTCGTGCCGTTCGCCGTTAGCTTTTCTTCTTCCGGGCATTTCTGCTGCCGGGCTGCTTGGCCCGGATCCTGTTCCACATGTAAGAGTTTTAGAATGTGCCTGAACCTCCAATGATTTAAATATGTGAATAAGTCCATTTGAGAATAGGCAGGAGCAGCCAATAAACCTTTATTAGTTTCTGTTCATGGCGTCAAGGCCCTCTGATTTCAATGCAAATGTGTAATATTCAGATATAACAAACGAAGCAGGCAGGAATTGTAAAATATTGGCTTCTTTGCAAAGAACTCAAGACAGAAATAATTTCACAAAATAAAGACAAAAGGTTGTGTATTGTACGCCTACATACAGCAAGGTTTAGTAGAAATATGCTCACGCTATATTATATTTCATTCACACCAGGCCTGTTTAAAACGGGTGGTTGATCCATAAGCAGTAATTTGGCAAAAAATATTCCTATATATCTTTAAAGCTCTACTAATTTCTCGCCCACTGTTTGGAGGTTAAGATTCAGGAATAAAGACTTTCCTTTCCACATTCTTTCTTTCATTTTTTGTATTAGTTTTGTCATTAACTGATGGATTCACTCACACAGCATTTTGTCGGCTTCAGTCTTTTGGTATTTTTCTGCAGGAAACAACCAAATTTCATGTGTCCCTTTTTCTTACTGTTTTACTTCTGTATGACTTTATGTTCTAGGTGTCCTTGAACGCACCACTTGCCCCGTCGCCCCCCCATGGTTCATGCAAACAGGTGATTTCACCTTCTAGTTGATTAGTCAGGACTGTGGGTGCGTGGACGGACTAATTACCCCCCCTCGGACCCCCTGGTGCACATGTTAACGGTGGGAAACAAGCTTATTGGTCACCAAAGTCCAGAGACGAAGCGCAATTAGCGAGCAAAGCTCCTCCCACCCCGGCTAGCAGAGCTCTAATTGGCTTAACTGATGCGATAAACAGACCAGGGGGTCTCAAACATGACCGCTGATTTTCCATTTTATTATTTAGCAAAGGGGAATTTAATCAATCCAGACCATAATTAAATGTTCAGACTTGCAGTATTTGCGAGTCGTCGCGCGCGTGTCGTCTCTTCAAATGCTGCCAACGGCGCCCAGGTGCTCATAAAGACGGTGAGCTTGTTAACCAGAGCTCAGCAGGACGCGTTTGATTAATGAGGAAGTTTCTCATAATCACATATTCACTACGCACGGCTCAGTCGAGCAATTTAATGGTTTTTATTTCATTACAAAGCATAAAAAAACTGGACCACGCTCACAGCATTAAAGCTACAATCGGCTAAAAACAGACACACAACATCTTATGAACCAATTCAATGGTTTTCTTAAAGCAAATTACTGTTTTTAGTTGTTTCCATAAATGTTAATAAAAAATAGATCAAATAGATAATGACCTTTAGAGCTCACTGAGCCATTTTACCTGTTTCCCCCTTCGTTCAGCCTTTACGCTAAGCTAAGTAGCGTTTGGCTCTAGCTTCATATTTAGCATGTCGTATAACTGCCATAACTGTAATGTGTTTGGACATGACTCATACAAATATTTTGGCATCTTCTTTATGTCTGTCAGTGGTTGTTAAAGCACTGGTTTGGCACAGTAGACTACGGCGAATTGTGGTTTACACTTTGTAATAACGCTGCATCAAATGATTGATTTGATGATTCCTGATCCTGATGTTGGTCATTGATAAACAATTTTCACCAAAACCCAAAGGCAATTGGTAACTTCCTTACCCCCCAATTTAATGTGTGACTCACAATAAAAGAGCCCCAACGCACAAATAAATACTGTAAGAGCGAAGAGGTGCATCTCCTATACTTTGGCATAAGTCCGGTCTCTGTCCATGTACGGCTATTACATCGCTCCTCAGCGCTCGCTCCCCTTGGCTGCATCGCTAATTCGCCACTCGTGCCCCCTTCCGCCCGCCCGCGCGCGTTAGCTGATTGGTGCTCCCGTGGTCACCAACTTGTAGTAGGCCCCCTTCAGAGCCATGAGGTGGTCGTGGGGTCCCTTCTCGATTACGTAGCCCCTCGACATGACGGCGATGATGTCCGAGTTCTGAATGGTGGACAGGCGATGGGCGATGACGATGCACGTCCGGCCCTCTCTGGCTCGGTCCAGGGCGTCCTGCACGGTCTGTCGGGGAGACACCAAAGCCGCCACGAGGCGGCGTTCAGTTAGCGGCGCTGCGCCTCGCAATTATGGCATTTCCCCCACTGGCGCGCTGATTACTATCATTAGCGTGTCCGGGTGTATCGGTGCGCTGCAGAGGCCCCTCTGCTCCTCGGACACAGAGAGGCTCCGCGGGAATAACAAAGATGGCAGCAATTGTTAATGATAATAATAATTAACTGCCGACGAACGCGGAGCAGATAAGAAGCGCGTGGATTAAAGAGCCTAGCGAGGGGCACCTTCTCGCTCTCGGTGTCCAGGGCGGATGTGGCCTCGTCCAGCAGCAGGATCTTGGGGTCGCGTATGATCGCCCTGGCGATGGCGATGCGCTGCTTTTGACCGCGGGACAACTGGGAACCCTGGGCACCGACGTTGGTGTTGTATCTCTGAGGCAGGATGAAAAGTGATGGCGAGTCGAAAACAATAAATTATGAAAGTGACTGTAATGATTTTTACCAGGAATTATGCTCTTTGTGTCCATGGTTGTTAAAGTGCCGTTTTGAGGCATTTTCTTCAGCAAAAAGAGGCTCTTACACCTGCCAACAATCAGTCAACGATCCCTAAGACTGACTTCTTCAACCACGAGCAGATTGAGGTCTGAATCACTCTTTATCGCTGTAATAATGACCTTTAAATGTGTGCGCTTTCAGCTGGTCGACGTATCCGTCAAGTCACCCTTCTGGACCCCAGAAATGACTCACTACGCAGTGATTCCTTTGTAGTTAATATTGTGGATGGGCCTCTGCTCGTGAGTCCTCGCCACACAAAATGTCCACGGTACCTCGGGAAGTGCCATGACAAAGTCGTGGAGCTGCGCCTTCTTGGCGGCAGAGATGACCTCGTTGGTGCCGATTTCCCGCGAGTTGTCGCCGTACTTGATGTTCTCCTCGATGCTGCAGTCAAACAAGATGGGCTCCTGGGACACGATGCCAATCTTGGAGCGCAGGAAGGGCACGTTGACGCGGGTCGAGTCGTGGCCATCAATCAGCTGCAGGAAGTCATAGATTTGACTATTAAGAGAAAGCAATATAATACCCAAAGGCTGGAAATACAGTCCACTCAATGAGCCATCAGAACACCATGTCGGCCTTGATTTGTCTCCCAACTACGCACAGGTGACGCTGTTCTTTTTTAAATCTCAAACGGGGAATCAGAACGTTTCCAAACCACTTCCAACCCAATTAGGCCATTTGAATCTTTGCTGGGATTACTTACTGGCACAAAGGCAAACCTCCCTATATATATCTATCTATATATATATATAACATGAACATCTGATGAATGAGTAATTATTCTTTGACTGACTTCTTCCATTGACCATACACATCAAGCAGACACATTGCGTGGATCTGCTAATAGGAAGTCCGATATCAACACCATCCTCTCATTAGCGGCTAAATGTTCCCTCCAGAACAAAAGAAGACATCGGACCTTTAGAGAAGCTTTCTCACGGGCTTAAAGGACATAAGACTAATATGAAATAAAACTTCTCTGAAATCAGAGGCGCTTAAATATTAAAGATTGAAAGTTAAAAAAAAACCATATCCTCCCTCTAATTCGGATTGATGAGGGAGCGTAAAATAAAAAATAAGTACCTGAAGAATCATTTACAGAGGACACAGTGACACGACTCACCACTCGGCCGTGGTCGGGGTCGTAGAACCTCTCCAGCAGCTGCACGCTGGTGCTCTTCCCACAGCCGCTGCTGCCCACAAAGGCCAGCGTCTGGCCGGGCTTCACCGACACGTTGAGCCCATTCAGGACCTGCATGTCCGGCCGGGTGGGGTAGGTGAACTTGCAGTCAATGAACTCGAGGTTCCCTTGGAAGTTTTCCTGAAAACACAGAGGAGGGAGAGAGGGGGGGGGGGGTATGATAACGGAACAAAGGTTATAGGCGTCTGTGTGCATCAATGTGCCACCTGCTGTGGTACTACATTTATTTGATTTGATTGCTTTTTATTCAAGTCACAAGGCCTTGCTCGGCCTATTGCGTTTTCACCCTTTGCTTGTAATATATTTGATAGAAGGACTACCAATCCTTCCTTGTCTCCTCCATCTACATACCCCTTTCATGACTAATGCAACATTAATGAGCACAGCAATAAAGGAATAATAAATTAGACGTTTCTTTGCAGAGAGAGCAGGAAGCACTCATTTGGAATAGCACGTGACACGGAGCGCAACGTATTCCCCCGTACCCATTTATCCCCCTTATCGCTGTAGATGCTGATCCGAGGCACGCGGTCCAGCAGCTGGAAGAAGCGGGCCGCAGAGATCTTGGCCTTGGCGTAGTCCGGCGTGTAAGAGGAGGCCCTGCCGAGCGCCGTGCCGCTGGTGACGATGGCCGAGATCACCCTGCCGGAAAGGACCATGTAATGTAACTATTCAGACGTTTTTTGCACAGAATAGGTTTCTTTACTTAAAAAAGTAATTGTTCTTTGAATACTTATATAAACCAATATAGTGTGCATTTAGCATTAGCTGTTTTAACTGCAATCGGCAGCTAAAAAGCTAATGTGACATAAAGGAACGACACCACTCACATAGATGTGACTATACAGATTTATGGTAGTAACATTAAAAAAAGAACGTTAAAGAACATACAAATAAGATGAAAAGCGGTTTTCTCCTCTCACCTGAACACCAAACTGAAGTGGAGCCCCTCCTGTCGCACCAAGTACCCTCCGAACCTGTAGGAGGCGGAGTTGGTCAGGAAGATGACGCACTGGGCGAAGCCGTAGCAGGCCCCGTACACGTTCGCCTTCTTCAGCGCCGCCTGGTACGGGGCTTCCAGCTGGGCCTCGTACATGTCCACGAAAACCCTCTCTTTGCCCAGGCCTGCGATGGTGCGGATGTTGTTCAGCGCCTCGCCGGATATCTGGAAGTAAAAGACCCGTTTTTTGGATACCAGATTAAAAACTGCAAAGAAGGCAAGATCGCTGAAGAGAAGTTGTTCCTAATTAATTGCTCGGGAAACTAACGCGTGAAGACTTACGATCGAGATAAAGCCTTTGCTGGCTTTTTATCTATCATCTTATCGTACGCTGCTGCAGAGAGCCCATTTCCCCCCATAGGGATCATTAAACTTTCATCTAATCCACTTTATTGGGATGGCTGGGGTTTACTGCATTGGAATAAACGGGACAGTCGTCTCCGCTCGGCGTCGGCTGTACCGTGACGCGGTCTTAGGCCCGGGTGGCTCCAGTCTGACTGCTCTGTGGCTGCCCCGCCAAATTACAGGAGCGGCTAATGAAAAGCTTCCGCACCGAGATCAGGGTTCAGCTGGAGGGCTGCGCAGCGATGAGAAAAACTGAACCGCGCGCTGTCGCTTATCTGTTGTCGGTGCACGCGTCAGCGTGTCGCCCTCCCCCGGGAGGTTTATCGGGAACAGTGAGATGTTGCTTTCGGCGCGGAACGCGGCGCGCTGACAGAGTTGAGCTGAGGATGGCGAGACACGGATTTAGTTGAAGCTGTGGCGCAGGTACACGGATGCCTGACCTGTCCGGCGGTCTCCATTGCCTGCTTGTCCTGCTTGGCGAAACCCGTCAGCATCTTGGCCTGGAAGCCGCCCGACAGGGCGATGAAGGGCAGGAAGCACAGGATGAGCAGCGTGAGCTTCCAGCTGAAGAAGAAGGACATGAGGACGGCCACGCCGATGTTGGTCAGAGAGTTGACGATCATGCCGATCTGAGAGCCCGTGGCCTTGTAGAGGAACACAAGTGAAGGTTACTGTGCAATGTGCATGTTGTTTCTACAGGAGCCCAGAACAGACAAACCAAACACGGCCCAACGTGGAGGGAGGACTGTCCAGTCGGATGCAATCTGCAACCTCATCACTACACGGCCCTAAATCCCACAAGGCTGAATATGGGACTGGATGAAATCTTTCATAAACTCACCCCTTGAACTTGTGAGGCGTCAGTCGCCAGGCGCGTGGTCAGAGCCCCGGGGCTGTTCCTGTGATCATCAAACCAGCCGATCTCCTGGCCCAGCATGGCGTGGAAGCCGATCCGCCGCAACCTGCGCGTCAGCAGCTCCCCGGACTTGGAGAAAGCGTAAGCCTGGAGACACCCACGCGGGATTATTTCTGAGCCCCAAATACCATCACAGCGATCTCCAGCGTAATGTAAAACGAATCTGAGGAAATTGCTTCTGTGTGCAATTTGTCTGTGCGTCATTGAATATATTTCCCAGCTAAGTTAGTATTAATTTGACCCAAATCATTTAATTCTCTTTTTTTAAGCGCTCTTGTGACATCCCCTATAACCTTGAACGCGAGTAGCAGGTGAGGCACTAAACCAATCAGTCTGCTACCGTACCTGCAGCATCTGGGTGAAGAAAGAGACCACGCCGATCATGACAAAGAACAGGCAGATGCTATCAATCTCCTTCCTCTGAGCCTCCGAATCTGTTATTGAGAATGTCTGGGAGAGAGAGAGAGAAGTTAATACAGAGCATTACACACACACACACACACACAGGTCTAAAGCCTCTGCATAGTTAATTCATTATTAATAATTAAGAGTTATTATGTCAATTTAAAATAGTTTTTTCACCGTTGTGATTTTTTATTTTATTTTGAAGGACAGTTATGGGACCAGACTCAATGAATTGTCTCTTAAAAGAATTATGTGAATATAATGCCGGGGGGGAAAAGTTGTCTTTTTCTCCTCCTGTATTTGTGTTCTGTGTTAAAGTGAACAGTTTGGCCAAAAATATATTGCACAAAAAGGCACCCCAGGCTCCTTTTAGATAACAACCAGGAAACTGAAGAGGATGGTTTTTTACAACTCTGTGGTACCGATGAACTCGGCCCGACCGTTTCCTGGCGTAACCTCGGGCCTCGGGTGGTGTTTAATAAAACATCCGTGGCTTTAAGGCTTTTGAAATTAGCTCATTGCTAATATTTCTTTGTTACAGAACCACCGATGAAATCCCCCGAACCTCACCGCCAGGATTTGACTGAACAGCAGAGAGTAGACCGGGTTGACCCCCCCATTTATGGCAGCACCTAAGGACCCAAAGAGCATGTAGGGCCACTCGGGTGTGTTGTACTTCAGGATCCTGGTGACTGGGGCCGGCTCCACTGGTTCCTCCTCCTCCTCTGGGACGGCGTCCTGAGCGTTCACACAGACAAACACGCGTCAGCCGGCAGTCGGAGCCGTTACGCCATCCAAAGGCTCGGTGCACAAAAGAAAAGAACATCCCAACACAAGTGGTTCGACGGTCCGGCGGTGCGGTAATTGTTTTGGACCCGCTTATAGAATTGCGTACCGTGGATTTGTCTGCCCGTGACACAGAGTAGGCTCTGGGGCCGAGCTCTCCGACCATCGGGACCGAAGACCCCGGGATCAGATTGGACAGCTGAGACCGGGACCGCTGGCGAATGGAGGCTCTGCAGAAGCAAAGAAAAACAAGTCCAAAAGATAAATAAAGAAATAACACCCACTGATTTCTATCTCTTCAGGAAGATGAATATTCAGAGAGCGCAGGAACGCATTCAGCCGCCGGTGTTCTCCGTGCACTCATCACTGGGAGCTTGTAACAGTGGCGTTCGAGGACCTGAAGCCTCCTCTCCTGTTTGCAGCACTTGTTAGGGCCCCTGGATGATAGGGTCAGCTAAATGCTCCAAATGTCACAGTCGTTGCAGGAGGGTAATTAAGCGAACTGAAGGTCCCAGTATCAAAATAACTGCTGTAATAAATCCTATTTAGATGCACAGTCAAGACCATGGACACAGATATTACAGTTTTCACAAATAAACAGATGAAGCGATGACGGGTGTGCGTGTGTGTGTGTGTGTGTGGGTGTGTGGGTGGAGTAATACCTCAAACTGGCCCGGTAGCTGCCTGCCCTGGACAGATTCAGCCTCGCTGGCGCTTCTTCGTCGTCAGCCACTGAGAAAGACCCGAGCGAAAGGCGACCATTACAATGAGCGGACGCCCACGGCGTCTGCCAGGGGACAGAATCATGTTTCACAGGCGTGGGGGGCGGCCCTACTTTGCCGAGCCTTCTGGTTCAGAGCCTTGTCGCCCTGGCTCTGCAGCGTGACCAGCGTGAAGTAGACGCCCTTCCTCTCCAGCAGCTCGTCGTGTTTGCCGCACTCGACGGCGCGGCCGCGCTCGAAGCCCACGATCACGTCGGCGTTCTTTATGGTGGACAGCCGGTGGGCGATGGAGATGGTGGTGCGACCCAAGCGTACCTGTGGCCAAACCGGACGACGCACACATGGTTGGAGCAGGATTTTCCTCGCGGCGTTATTATTTGAATTGCTACACATTGAGATGATTGACGCACAATTGCTCCGTTCTTATGCAAATGAAATCAGACGATGAACCCTGATTGATCCACTTCTGTATTGCAACCTTCCTATAATTCATTAGCATATTAGAACCTTAACTATGTTACGCGTTTCCACTTGGCATGTGTTCACATAGGACAACATACTTTTACCTTTCAGAGGAAAAAGGGAAGATTACCAGAAACAGTATTTTTAATTCAAAGGTTCAAAGGTTTTCAGGTTTTCATTGTCTTTGCAAGCCAGACTGGCAACACGATGAACCCATGAATCCTCCAAAGCAGAGAAGACAGAAGCTAATTTGGCAGATATTCACTTTGTCCAAAGCCTCTTGAACGGTCGCCTCGCTCTCGTTGTCGAGGGCAGAGGTTGCCATGTCCAGCAGCAGGATACGAGGATTCCTGACCAGCGCTCGTGCGATGGCGATGCGCTGCTTCTGGCCGCCGCTCATCTGGCCTCCACCCTCCCCCACCAAGGTGTCGAATTTCTACATTTTTCAAAATGACAGGGAAAGTTATTAAGCCTGACGGTGTTCAAAACTCAACGTTGTTCCTGTGGGCAACTAGACGATCGGACAGAAACCCTGCGCGTCACCTGCGGCAGATCCATGATGAAGTTGTACGCGTTGGCCTGCTTTGCGGCGCCGATGACATCTTCCATTGGCACGCCGGGCCGACCGTAGCGGATGTTCTCAGCAATGGTGGTGGCAAACAGCACGGGCTCCTGCTCCACAATGCCAATCAGTGAGCGCAGCCACTGGATGTTCAGCCCTCTGATGTCATGGCCGTCCAGGGTCACCTGAGTCGGAGGGCAGAGAGCCGGTTGTGCTAAAATTGATGGATGATTTAATTAAAATGCTTTGCTGGCTATAATGTTTTTTTTTTTTTAATGCAACAATGCTAGTGATAGGGATGGTTAGTCTAGTGCTTAACCTTCATTGTGCTATAAGAGGCTATTTTGTCCCATAAAAGCTGAGAGCAATAAGAGTGAGGCGTGTAAAGACCTCCAATTTCAGTGAAAGTGAAAAATGAGGTCGTTAGCGCCCATTGGCTGAATAATGAAACAGATTATCATGTTCCTCCATCAGCCCCCGGGGACGGTTATTTTTAAGCCACTAGAATAAAGCTCAAAAAAGAGGAAGGAGTCGGCAGCCGCGGTGCGTCCAGGGACTCAGGGCGTTGACACAAAGCCCCACTGCGGGACGAGTCATCGGCTCGGCCGCTAAACCCACCATGCCCTCTTTAGGGTCATAGAAGCGCTGGAAGAGCTGGATGGCCGTACTCTTCCCGGCGCCGCTCGGCCCGACGAAGGCCGTGGTCTCCCCCGACTTCACCGGAACGCTGAGCCCGTCCAGGATCTGAGTACAGATCACATGAGCAGAAAGTCAAAATACCGGTCTGGGCCACACAGGACGAGTGTAGAAGCGAGCAGGTACCTTGACTTCAGGTCTGGAGGGATAGTGGAAGGTGACATTGTGAAACTCAATATCTCCTTTGACCCGGTCCAGTTTGTATCCCGCCTCGGATAGACAATCAATCTCCGGCTCCTGGCAGGAGCACATTTTTTGAAAAATGAGACTTGTCCGCACAAAGAAATTGGTTTCCTGTATAACACATTACCTTGTTAAAGGTGAAAATCGTGCAAAATTTAAAACATCGAGCATTCTCACTCTCTCAATAGTCTCAAAGATGATCGTCGCAGCTCCACGGCCTGCAGCGAATGCCTCCAGACACGGCGAGGCCTGCCCCAGATTCATGGCTGCTATCAACACACCGAAAAACACCTAGAAAGAAGATGTCAGTGTATTACGGTGTAATACAGTCTGTGAGTGTTTCCAACAGTGCTGATCGCTCAGCAGATGTTGTAATGAATCCTAATGTTGTAAAACCTGCAGTAGTGTTCCTGGTGTGTACTCCTCAGTGTCCACCACCAGGCTGGAGCCGTACCAGAAGGCCAGACCATAGCACATAAAGATGACCAGCCACATATATCCAGAGAAGAAGCCCATGATCAGACCTTTCCTGATGCCCCAGCGCTGCGCTGAGATCAGGTTTTTGTCGTACCTGCAGAGGAGAAGGGCTGACCTCAGCTGCCTGACAGAAAAGTGAATCTTCAACTTTCACCCGGAGGATTTCTACCTTTGCACTTCTTTTGCCTCCCCGCCGAAAGCGGCCACGGTCCTAATGGAGGAGAGCACCTCGTCTGCTATGGCTCCGGCTTTAGCGTAGGCCTGCAGCTCCATCCCCGTTAGCTTAGCCACAAACTGGAGGAAAAACAGGGTGACGCGTTTGAGAGAAATTATTTTACAGAAAGTAAACCAAAAGTAAGGTTAAGAGAAATTGAACCAAAGTCGTGTCTAGTCAAAAGTTTAAGTCTAGTCAACAAGTTAGGAGAAGTACAGCAAATATTAAATCAAGAGAAATTCTCACCACAGCCATTAGACCGGCGCCAACGCCGATCAATGGACTCGCAGCGACAATGACAAGCGTCAACTTCCATCCTTTTACGAAGCCGACGGAGAAGCCGCACACGAAGGTGGTGAAGCGCTGCAGGAAGATGGCAACTTGGTCCGCGATGGCGTCGTTGATCTTGTTGATATCACTGTAACAAAAGGTGCCGCCGCGTCAGCATCGATGATCCCAAAGCACAGAAACCCTGGACTCATTGCGTCACTCACTCGGACATGCGAGTGTTGAGCTCCCCCACAGAGGTGCAGTCGAACCAGCCGATCTCCATCCTCATCACCTTGCTGAAGTACATCTTCCTGATGAGCTGAATCTGCCTGGCGGCCGACTTCACCCACATGGAGATCTGTCGGACGTAAACACACACCGGTTGGACGCGCGTTTGTTTTCTGCGTGAAAAGCATGCGCGGCAACGGGATGGTATCGGGACCCCTGACCTTTCACCTCCATTTGAGGGGTAACAGGGCAACCTTCCCGTGAAGGTTTTAAGGGGCGCTGCATTGATTTGACATGATGAGATTCTGCTTATTCGACTAAAGGCCTCACAGAGCACCTGCATGATGACTGGCTTCAGAAGAGCTTTTTCCAGTTTGAGAAAATGACCCTGATGAGGTGCATTATGGCAAATGTAAGATAAAGCAATTTTCACCCATTCTAGGGGACTAAAATTGCTATATCGTTGCCCCTCTGGCTTTGATTAGATCAAAATCCGTGTCTTCTAAGCCTCTTATCTTTCAGAAATTGCAGTACCATCTCTGGCTTTAAAACACTATTGGATTATAGAGCACTTAACGGTTTAAAGTAGTCCCTATCCTGCAAATAAGACATGAACCAGTGATATGATTTTTCCATAAGGTCCCATCTAGTTTTCCAGTCTGTCTAATAACATGCCGTAGTTGACGGATTGTACTTTTTCATCAGCAGGGGGTCCAGATTGATACGACTTATTAACTGACAAGAGTTTGTCATGTGCAGAAGACCCTGTACCATGCAGTCATACACATTTTTTTAAAAGCTTGTCATCAGAATATCTTAGTAGCCGGAGGGGGCTTCACGATCCCCTTCAAGATCTCATGGGTAATCGGACCCAAATATGTCATGCTCATTGAACAGTTTTTAGGTGGATGGCACTTTCTGATCTTTTTAGATCAGTCCTTTTGGTTGAATACGAAGACATTTGAAGACCAACCTGAAAGTATCCGAGCAGGAACACAGCAGCTGCGATTCCCACATAATAGAAGGCAAAATTGGTCATTTCGTGTTCAATGTCGAGGAGCCTGAGAAACGGCACAAATGCAGTCGGTGAATCATTTATGAGGGACTACAGAACCACACGCACTTCAACGCAGATCTAGAAACTTCAAACATCACACGTTACATAATATGATGGGAGGAAAAAAAGTATATGAAAAGTGCACCTCACGCATCCGTCACAAGCCACTCACCCACACGCCCTGTACTTCAGCGGTGTGAACATCTCCCACGTCGCATTGCTCACAGAGCCCCAGTCCATCGGTGGCGCGGAGGTCGTCGTGTAGTTCCTCTTCCACACGATGGTGTTGTTCACGCACTCCTTCCTGGGGTCTCGCAGCTCGTTGAGCTCGATGTCGTACTCGATGAAGGTGTCGGTGAGCAGGCCGAACACCAGCAGCATGAGGGGCTGGGCGGAGCCGTGCGCCACGGCGCACACGCCTCCCAGCGCCATCATCAGCACCTCCCGGCACGTGGCGTATCGGAACTGGGCGGGCACAGGTAGCGACGCCGGGGTTAGCGGCGGGTGGAATCTCAAAAGGGGAGATGGAGAAGGGAGGGGCGAGCGCTACGGAGCAGAACGTCTTACCAGCTGGAAGAAGCCAACCCTGATTGCCGGCTGATCGCCGTTCTGCCGCTTTCTGTTTTGGAAAAAGAAGGCCGGTCAGTTTGTTTTCATTGGAGGTGAACGTGTGAAAGTTTGCAGGACCTCTTTTGCCATCTTGTACTCACGTGCCGTCATTGCTGGAAGATGTTGTGGTC